TTCCCTTGGATCTGAAAAGACAAAAAACATGGCTACCTATATTCAGGGCCTGGTTGTGATCTAAATACACAGTCAGTCTCCGAACGACCTCCGGCGCTGCATCAGAAGCGCCACAACAAAATAATTCACAAGGACGCCGTGGTTATTACAAGCTAGAGATACGATGCAGTGATTGCGAGATATTCGGCATCACACTTTTGGTTCCTGTCATCGCATCTAAAATTGAGTTCAAATGATCTATACTGTCACACGCTCGTACTCTGGAGCTTCCTGTCCAGGTGCCTTGGGGGGGTGGGGGGGACTGTGAGTTTGTTCCAATGAGGACACATCTGCCCAACAGCTCCTACGGAGCAACACAGCAAATGAGCACTTGCTGTCGTATTGCTGCACTTCCTGTTGATGTAGAGCACAGCCGACAGGTTTTAATATCCTCGATGCTGTGTCTGCTTCCTGCTTGTGCATATTCCCACAGCAGTAGACCTAAATAAATATGCTGTAGGTCTGATTTGTGCCACGCGGGATGATGACTGGTTACGAGTTCACATCGGCGTCTAAACTGGGTTGTCTTTTTGAAGATGGGATGTTCTGGAGCCTATTTTGAGACCGGTTGATCCTTTGCGGCGCTCCTTCACATAACCCGAGCTATCACATCTTCATGAAAGACAGAAGAGGAGATAAAGAGACCCTTGTTGCGTGAAAACTGATTTCCTCACAGATTTCTGCCAATATAAAACAGCATATTTATTTATCTAACAGAAAGACTATGGAGATAATAGCTGCGTACTGAAAATGGATTATTCAACCTATGAGTCATCTGTAGGCCTTTGCAGATGTCTTATCTGTGTTTCTGAATATTTCATGATGGCATACTCCACTAAAATTAGATTTGCATGTTTTGAAATCATGATGCCTGACATAGTTGTTTTTCTTTTCTTTTTCTTTTTTTTTTTTAAATGTGCAATCACACAACTATGATCATCTTAGGCTCTCCCAGAGGCCCTGGTTTCTTGACCCCAAACTAATATTTGTATTTGCTCTCCGCCGACTGAACATGACACAGATTTTGTATTTTGAGGATTGTGACTTTTTGTTTGTTTGTTTTTAATTCTCTCTCTGGATTTCACAGTCAACCTAAATGTAGCAGTGATGGTCGCCTTTAAGCACATTTTCCTTCACTGATGTCTTAGGATCACTTGCGAGGTGGAGCATGCGTGGTTGGTCAGGAGACGTTTGGAGAACCTGCGTTAAGTTAACTGGAGTTCTTCAGAGAAGAGCGGAAGTTGTTTTTTTTGTTTTTCAACTTAAAGCACGTAATGTTGACTAATAAAATACATTTCCACTGTGGATAAATATAAAAGCACTCCAAAAAAAAAAAAAAAAAAA